TTAAATTTGTATTAATGCTAACAATACCAATAACACTAATAAAGATATCAATATTTATATTAACATTAGAAATACTAATAATACTTATATTTAATTAAATCAATAATAATAATAATAAAACTAGTTATATTATATAATATAATATATAATTTATATAAATATATTATAGATTTTAGCTTAGGTTAAAATAATTAATAATTCAAGAAGTTTCTTGTTTGATAAAAACTTCAGATAACTTATAAAATTATATTTTGATCTTGAAAAATAGATCACTTATAATAAATTATTGTTATTAACTTATAAAATAATTATTTAATAAACTTATTATTTATATATAACTTTTAAAGTACTAAATAAATATATAAACTTAATGAAGTTATTCTAGCTCATCATAATATAAATATATATTATCTATTTTTAATAATAATTTTCAGTCTCTCATATTATAAAACTATTTTTAAGTTAGTAAAAACATATATATAAATATATAAATAACTTAAACTATATAAAATAGTAATAATATACAATCATAAAAAATTATTTATTATAAATTAATATTTATATTTAAATAATTAAAATAAATTCAATATAATTTAACTAAAATTAAAGTAAATAATTATTTAAAAAAATAAAAATATAATTAATTTAAAAAATTATATTAATAAATAATTAAAAAAATCAAAATTTAACTTATAATTATATTTAATAAAATATTTATTAAATAATATTAATTTATTACTAATATAATATTTTTTAGAAATATTTATAATAAAATAAACAAGAAATTCAAGTTTATATATTTAAAATATCTTAGTATTTTATAATTTATAAAAGATTTAAGATTAAAATAAAAAAGTATAAGCTAATTTTTTTTTCTAAACTGAAATTTTTATTATATTTAATTAATTAATTATTTTTAATTATATGAAAAATAAAATTTTTTACTTTGATAATTATATTATATTACTTTATTAAAGTTCTTTATAAATTTAATTAAATTAATTATTTTAATTATTATTATTTATATTATTTAATTATATAATTCAAACTATCAATAATTTTTTAAATTAATAAAAATTATTTTTACAAATTTATTTAATATATTAAAAATATTTAATTATTATTATAATTATAAAAAACTAAATATTTTGTTATAAAATATTATAATAAAAAAAAATAATAATTATATATTAAATTCAATAAAAATAATTATTTTTTTATAGTTAAGATAATTTTTTAGAATATTTTAATATAACTAAAATAATTTAAATTAATATTATTTTTATAAAAATAAAAAATAAATAATTTTAAAATTAATTATATATTAACTTATTATAAATTATTATATATATAAAAAATTTTGATAATAAAATATAATAAAAGTTAAAATTATATTATATTTTGTTATCAAAATTTTTATATATATAATAATTTATATTATATTAGTATATAATAAAAAATCTTTTATTATTTATTTATATATTATTAAATAAATAAATTTTAATTAAAAATATAAATAAAAATTAATTAAAATTTTTAACTAATTTTTATTTATATTTTTTAGCTAAATTTATTTTTTTAATAATATAAAAATAAATAATAGTTATATAATTAATTTTAAAATTTTTGTATCTTTAATTTTTTAGATTTTTAATATAATAAATTATTTATTTAAATTATTTTATTTATTATATTAAATATTCTAAAAAATAATTATTTTTATTTGTATTTAATATATTCTCTAATTAAATTATAATAATAATAATTTATATAAAAATAATAATTATATTGCAATACTAATATTAAAATTAATAAATAAAAAAATACTTGGAAAAATAATTACTTTATTAATTATTTTAGATAATAAATAATTTAAAAAATTAAAATATTTTTAATTAAAAAAAATTACTATATTCTTTTACTTATAAATAATTGAATATATGAAAATAATAATATATTAAATTAGAAATAAAATATTAATTTTAAAATATTAAATAAAAAATATCAGTTTTTTGCTTAAAAAAAGATCAAATAAATCAGTTATTTCAGAAAATAATATTAAAACTAAATAATTTAATAATAATTAAAAAAATAAAATATTAAATTTTTATAATTTAAATAAATAATAATAATTTAGAAAATATCACAAAAGAACAAGTTATTTTTTTGAAAATATTTAAAAAAGATTTAAATATTCTCAAAAACAGATATTTAATTTTTTCTCGAAGATTTTCTGATCTTTTTCTAAATTAATATTTTGAAGAATTTTTATAGAGTAGAGTGAATATAAATTATTATTTATAATTTATTTAAATAATTACTTTATACAATTTGTAGGATAAAATCCTGTTTAAAATTATAATTTATATACATATTAGCTTTAAATTAAAAGTTTATAAAAAGCTTTACAATTTAACAAATTCATATTTTTTTAATCAGTATAATAATAATATTATAAAATTTTTATATTATTATAAGTAAGGATTAATAACAAATTTGTTTTTAGTATATTAATAAAGTTTGAGTATTTTATTATATTATAAAGTAGAATGGATATTATGACGCATTACTAATAATTTACATAATAAGCTATTAGTAATGCGTCATAATACCCATAACTATTCTACTTTATAATATTAAAATCTTTTTTATTTGTAGAATTAGAATTTATGTTCACATCAAAGTCCTGTGTTTCAACATTTGCGCATATTTATTCCTTCAATTACTGTTACAATATAAAAATTTTCTAATTAATATTTTATATGTAAAAAATTTAATTATGAAAATGATGAAAAAACAAAAATATTGTGAAAGAAAAGCCCAAAATATGCACAAAATTGTTCGTCAAGATCCCATTATTTGAAACTTGCTTTATTAAAGTTTTTGCTGAAGGTTCGGATTCAGTTTCTGCGCTAGTTGGGGTTGTAGAGCTTGTTTGATACTCCGTAATGGTGTGGGTATTTTGAGGCATATACCAAGTTTTGGGAAATTTCGCCGCAACTTCTTCGATACCAAATGGACCAGTGACACCAAACGGCTTAATTGCATGATTTTCATATTCTACGAACGATGACGTTACAACATGGATATAAAATAAACTCATATTCTGGACTTTATCGGACCGAATAAATGGAACAGTCCAAAGATACTGAAGCGAATTCACATTTGATGCTATCAACTCGTCATATAATGATTTATAACTCGGCTTTACAAAACCAGACACTTCTGGATCATTGTGAAGGGATAGAGTAAAATTGCGAACTAGGTTTGTTAAATTGACGCATTTTGAAAATAGATGCCATTTGATTAGGACTCTGTCATTGGGTGTATATTCTGTTCCCAAGATGGGTGTTGTTACGTTTAGACAGTGAGTTTCGCTTGGTGACCATGGCCTTGTTTTATCGAGTGGCGGGATTTGCATTTTGGAGTTGCATGTTAGTATGAGTAATGATAGAAATAAAATTGTCAGATAATGCATATTTTTGGTTAAAAAAAAGTAGAGAAAATATAGATAACCGTAATTATGTAAATATGTAGGGCATCAGTTAATCATATTTAATGTTAACATTAAGTCTGCCTATTTGAACGATTCATCAATATAAATGTGATTGATTATATATGTACGTAATGATAAAAGCTACACACAGTACGTACATGTACTTGTCACGTCATTGTAATTTTAGCTAGAATTATACAGAATTGAGTTGGCTTTTAGCCATAATAAATATACTAATATTTGTATCATCTGTAAAGTTTTCCCAATTACGATTTTAACTTCGAAAAACAACAAATAAGATTATGTACCTGCTGGAAGTGATGCTTTTTCGCTTCTCATATCAGTTCGAATCTTTAAATTTGTTAATATTTAAATATCCATTTTCGTGATTTAGTCAAGCTAACAATTTAAATATACATATACCCAGCCAGGATTGACAGCTTGGATGCAAATTTGCTTTTTTTTTCATTGCTAATATTTTCGTTTCTGCGATCATGCCAACATTGGATACATTATATGAAACAGTACCTGTAAATATACAGATTATTACTTTCACTGCAACTAAAGAGATATATATGATTTATGACATATTACCTGACGTTGCCAGCTTTCTCGAACAGTTACATCACTACTTGTATGCTACTAGAAAAAAGTTTATTAAGTTTATAACGAATTTACTTTGTCTAAAATAATTTTACCTCAAATTTATCATCAACTCATTCAATTCTTCGAAAGACAAATCCTCTCAGCTAAATTCGGTCTGTAACTTTTTTGATGGAATCTGTTTCAATTGACCGAGTCTACTAGCAATGCTTATTATTCTACTACCTGGATATTTAATTATTGACAAAAGTATCTCGGGTTTGGGCCCAAAACGATAATATAATAAAATATATTTTTGGACCATGAAAAGTCCATTTTTTATTAATACAATCTTTATTCACGTAATAATTAAACTTGTTCGCCATATACAGTGGTCGTCATAAATATCCGGAATTTAGTTTTTTAGGTACAACTTCACGAAAATTCATTTAAAACGTATGAAATTCCATATATATAATATATAATATAGGATATGGGAAACAAGTTTATCTAATATCACAAATACACTTAAATTAATAAGATTTTGCGTAAATTGCGAATTGGAACATTTAAAAATTAAGGAGGATAACAAGATTCTAAAAAAATATTTTCACTAATCAATTTTGCAAATATTTTTAAGGAACCTATTTTCATACCTTAGAGAATATATCTATAATTTTTTAATTGAATTTACTTCATCATTGTTTCATAATGGTCAATTAAAAAAAGGTATAATTTTGCTAAATTCCTTAATAAATCATAGAAAAAATTGATTTTTTTATTTTTACTATAAAATATTTGCAAAATTGAATATTTTTTTAGAATCTTAATTTTTAAATCTTCCAATTCGCAATTTACGCATTTCCCATATCCTATATTATATATATGGAATTTCATACGTTTTAAATGAATTTTCGTGAAGTTGTACCTAAAAAACTAAATTCCGGATATTTATGGCGACCACTGTATAATTCTATTATATGAAAATGTTTTATGCTATTTCGGGTGCAAATGAGTATTTTACGAGCTTCTAAAGATCGTTCGTAAAATTTGAAAGAGAAATTAATTGGTCACAATAATAAGCATTAATTAGTGCTCCAACCGGGGGTCGGGTCCAATCCGTAACCCGACCCGGAACGCACATTTCGGGTTGGGTCAAATCCGACCCGAAATATTTCGAGTCAGCCTAAAAATCGTTGTTTCTCGTTCAATATTAATTGAAATTAAACGAAAATTTGCGGATATGTACACAATTACATTCCGAATAACTCTTCTTAGAAACAAAATACAAGCTTCTTAGCAAAAATAAACGTTATTAACGAAAAACTATTTTACGATTTTCGGGTCAAACCCGACCCGAACAGAGCTTTAGTATTAATGCATTGAATACTATTAATAAAAATATTAGTCTACTTCTATTCTAAATATTTCAAAATTTTGAGTGTTGGTTCACCAGATATCACGTAAAATGAAAATATTTAATATGCACGTTTTATGTTTTATATGATATCTAATGCGTAATAGTCACAAAAATTTTTAATTACATGTATAAGTGTTCATCATGTTAAAACAGCATTGCGACTAATTTTTTATTCAATGTTAGTATTTCACATGATTTGAATTAAATGATATAATCTAAATTGTGAGATGACGGATATATATCCCAGCGGCAAGACCAAACGAACTTAAAAACTAATCAAAAATAAATTAGTGTTACTTTGTTTTCATGCTTGTAAAATATTTGTTGCTTACTGCACAAAGTTGACGAATACAAAAAGTTTTAGAACGTACAAAGATAAACCCATAAAAAGCTGGATCATTGTTAGCGTTAGCGTCAGAGATGTAGAAAGCAATGAGGTTAATATAAAAAAATACATGTATATAGAATGAAATTACAATTCTGAAGAAAAACAAATTTATCCTTTAAAAAAATAAAAAAAGGGTTTGAACACGCGACATCAATTTCTGGAAGTGTCATAGGAGTTGAATACGCGACACTTGTTATCCAGAAAGACATCATAGGCAGCGTTCAAACCAACTGAGTCAAAGTTACCGTTGGCGAAAAAATTCATAAATTTAAATTATTATGATAACGATAAAATTAATAATAAACCAATATTTAATTTTAATTTTTAGAAAAATGACTTTCTGCTCCAAAAATTACGCCACCAGAGTTCTCTAATGCTATTGACTATCCATACGAGAGCTTTAAAGCAAGTGTTCCTCCATAGCGATAGTGCCTAGTAGCGATGATAAATGAAAAATTTTCAACAAGGTTAATACGTATTTCAACGGAAGGCAGAAGACCATCCCTATAGTGTAACCATAAAATCAGCATTTAGATTCCTCTGGAAGCAAATAAACTTACCAAAGCCCGAAGTCGAAAAACATCCTCCATAAATGAATTTTTAATGGATGCCTCACAGAACGGAACACTTTTTCCTACCAGGAAACATCCACACCTTTCTTTCTCGCTGATTTAAGTGAAAGGTAATTTCGTCTGAAAAAATTACTCGATCCCAGTCAAAGTTCTTATGCTTGTTCGCCCACAATAGTCGTTTTTTTTATGCTTGTTAGTAAATAGAGGTTTGGAAAGCTGATTTGTATATTTAGCCCCAACTTCATGCAGACGTCGCTGAATATTATCCACACTAACGTCAATGTTATAGTATTTCAGTGGAAGTCATTTTTTTGCAAGCTCTCTTATTTTTTTTATCTTGGTTTAGAGTTGTAATTCGTTTCCGACTCGATTTTGGTTCATTATTTAAATCTTTTGTTTTATTCCATTTTTTGATTATGTTAAATACTGTACCTTTAGCACAACCGATGTACTTTGCAGTGGCCGCAAGTCTAAGCTTCGGGATGGATATGTAAAAATAATGATTTTATAACGATTGTGTAAGGGAATTTACGATGTAGCGGTAGAAGTTTGATGATCAACGTATACATGTACGTATAAGTAGATTATCAACTAGCCTATAAAAGACATCAATGATCAGATGTTTGTGAACGGAAAATTTCAGAGCATTACCGTTACACAGGTTAGCGTTATAGGTATTAGGCTGCTAATCTAACTTGAGTGTTAGCGTTAGGCTAAGATTGTTTATTAATTCCGGATATTGTATTTACAAGCGTTAATAACACAATCACTTTTTCTGGACTAAAAGCATAAACCTTTCCAATCGCAATCGTTACGGTTGTTAAAACAATTATCTCACTTTTTCTGGATCAAAAGTGGCAAACCCTTTAAATCGTAATCGTCTCACTTTTTCTGGATTAAAATTGGCAAACCCTCTCTCTACAACAATGGATTATTATTGTGATTATATTTTTTAAGGCTTTATTGCAAATTCTCTTCTTTAATTGCTCTTTCTCGCGTTCATTATATACATTTTTGTTTGCATATTACAGGAAGAAATTATTGAACAAATTATAGTGGAATTTATGCAGTGGAACTTACGGTGTTAAGTGATTGACGTAAATAAAAAAAGGGAAAAAAAGCAAAAAAAGAAGTTTTACTCCGTAAAAACACATGTAGATTTAGACGTTGTTTAAGCTCGCAGAAGCATCATCTTTGCTGAGCGTACAGATTTGGGTTGGTGTTATTTCAAGTGCGAACCTAGCCGTCGTAAACCTTCTGGCGAAAGATTTGATAAACGCGGTTTGAAATAAACCAATGGCGACCGACTGACGGAGTTTTACAAACTCGGCCCAACTCTTTCTTTAGAGAGGCAAGCTGGCGTTTAAATATCAGTGGCATTATTGATATTAAGGAGCCAAGGTGATAATAGCACGTTAATTTTATATGGTTCTCCTTCTCGCTGTACAATGTCAGTCAGGACTTGTTGGATTTTCGATTTCCAATCCCGGTCATCAGCTAATTGGTAATAGCAAGGCGTGGTTCCGGTGAAATCTTTCAATCGGGGGTTGATTAAGCTCGGTTATAATGTGGCGAAATCGTCTAATGTGAATGTTGTTTCAAACAATCCTTCGGGATTGTTACCGCTTAATCCGAAGAATTCCAGAAGAGTATATTGGCATCGTTGGTGACCGTTATTTGTATTTTGCTGAGTTCAAGTTGTAGTTGAAGAAGAGAAGCGATGGTATTTGGTGGTAGTGTTTTGATGCTCATTTTTTTGGTGTTGAGCGTTTATTTCCAACTACATGTAGTTGTTATATTCATGTATTTGAGTTTCGCGATTGGCATGGTCGTGTTGAGGCGATCGAGTTCCTTTAAGATAGCCAACATGTGGATATTTCAATGACTCCATTGAAGGGTTTCTTTAATAACAAATCCTGTTGATTACGCAATCTGTAAGCGTTGTTTCCGTATGCCTCGTGGATGTAATACCACTCAAGACTCCATTGCGGTTTAAACTTGTCGCCATACAGTGCGTGTTGCTTCATGTTGTAGATTAGCATTTTATCACCAATTTCGAATGGTGTTGTCTTTATTCGTCGATCATGGCGTTCTTTAGTTTTCTTCTGATTTTTGACGGCTCGTTCTCCGGCCGTTTCTATTGTCGTTGGGAGTTGGTGGATCACTGCAAAAATGCGATTCAATGTTTGATGGTCAAGGTCGACGTCGAGTTCTTTTGAAGTTGGATATTGGAGTTCAATCGGCATTCTAGCTGCACGACCGTACGTCACAAAGAAGGGTTCGTGTCGGGTGGACTAGGGATAGGAATCGATTCTCTAGAATCGATAAATTTAGAATCGATTCTGAGAATCGATTAATTTGTAGAATCGATTAATATTTGAGAATCGATTTTAGACAAAATCGATCAATTACGATAACGATAATGCATAAATCGTGTACGTATTGGTATAGTGCATAACAGCGAAAAATTGACTGAATTTCTTAATAATTTAGACATATGTCCTTTATAATCTGAAAACCAAGATTATTTTACAAAATTTATTATTAATTACATTTAGTGTTACACTTTAATTAATAAAATCTGTTGTGCAATAAAACAAGGATGACGAAAATAACTAATCTCAATATATTAGAAATAATTCTATTTTTTTTTATCTTATAAAGTTGTTCTATTACAGAGAGCGTGTTTATAAACTTTCGCAAAATTTTTCATTGTACAATCAGTAAAAATACGAGTTTAGTTATTTTTAGTTTTTTATAATTGATTTTATTCCATATCAAAACATATTTAAAATTGTCACGTAATTCTAATCTTCGTTGTCATACAAAAAATCAAAAAGTTCCCCCTGGTTACTTATGGCACCTACTGCATAATCTCGTACATAACCATTCCAACCTAATTTCTTGATTAGAAATTTTTATATCTGCTGGACTGGTAAGCCCCCAAAATCGACAATGAAAACATCAATATTTAATAAGATATTTGCAGGGTGAAAGTCACGATGCACTAGTTTCTTTGAATTTTTCTCAGCCCACTGATATTCGCAAGTTTCATAGCACACTTTATAACAGTCTGAATTTATTTTTAAACAATTTGATTGTTTTTACCTCGTTCATAAACTCTCATTTGCTTTGCATTATGAACACAATTCTTTTGTCATCTCCAGACCGTATAAATTTGATCTCACTTTATCTATTTAAAAGATTCAGAATGATAATGTTTATAGCAATTTCTATGCATTCTTTATTAGACAGACGACATCTTTATTCTCACTAGGCTAAGGTGAAGATATAATGACAATACATATAGAATTTTGCTTTAACTCAAAATTTCTAGTCTATTAATAAACATATTAAGTAAATGACAATTTCGACAACCTTTATGATAAACAAAAATATTTAATTGAATAACTACTAGAAATATTGATAAAAAGTAACGGTTAAAATAATAAAAATATGTGTGTAAATACCAAGAGGTTAATAAACAATAAAAACCACTTTTGGTTGTTGTGCTTTAACAAGCACAACACGGTTAATATCAATATCGAATATAAATTAATACTTACCATTTTCATCTATTAATGAGCATGATATTGGAAGTGGTTCATCATGAAGTTGTTGCACTTGAAAGAAACTCGAAATATCTTCATTCGCGTTAATTTCTGTTTTGCAATCCAAAAGAAAAATAGTGATCAATTAATAAAGTCAATAAAAAATAAAACAAGAATTTTACCTTCTTTTAGAATAAGCAAACAGACACTTGTCAACCTTAAACATTCGATATGAAATGATATTGGTTCCTGCCCTGCTTCTCAGCGATATTGTCGATATATAACGACAGGACAGGATATACTAGATAAAAGTATCAAGTTCCTCAGCAGTTGGTCTGTTTTCTGGAATAGGATCCCAATATTTTTCAATAATAAATTTGCGTCCACCCTAGAGGATAAGAATCGATTAATAATTTCGATTAATCGATTTTGGGTTGAGAATCGATTCTCAACTGTTCTACCAAACATTTACGTATTTAATCAATTTCGTTCATGTGTAATTAACGTTAAATTTCTCACATCTGAAAATAGATTCATATGGCAGGAATTTCCAAATATTTGCGTGCAAGTTGTGAAAGAAATGGATATAGCGATAGGGAATCGATTTTCAACCCAAGATCGATTCTCGAGCGACGATGATGATGACGACGACAGCAATAACGACGATGACGGCGGTGTCATAACTGGTCTTTGGTTTTGTTTTTCATTGCATGTTGATTCTTTTTCCCTTTTCTTTGGAATAGTTGAAGTTGTACTTTGATTAGTTGAAATTATAATTTGATTAGTTAATTCGTAGAGATACTACGTGGTATAGAAGCAATTGAAATATTGTCATCAGAATTGAGATTCCGATCAATATCAGTTACTTGAAACAAATGCCAATATAAACATTTTTGTTGAATGACAGAGTACGTACGTACGTAGTTTGTCGTGCGTATGGTGAAATCATGATTTTCCAATTGCATGTACATGTATTCACTTATGGCGCTTACTGTAACTGATGAACTGCACGCGGCGAAAGCTATAATATAGATCTCGTATTAGATATCTACGTACATGTATAATGAAATACAAAAAAACAACTAATCCACCTAAATGCAATTTACACCAGTTAAATCTTTATTACAAAATTGGTTCAACTATTATAAAAATATCAATTCCAAGAAGACATTATGATAATTACAACCAAGTCCTGATTGGTAAAGATGAACATATGCAAATAACTGAAGTCAATAACAGTCACAAATTGAATAATTTATTTGACAAATTGTACAAATTCTTTCGTGCTGATAAAATTGCAGCCAATCTGCTTCATCTATCCAAGTTTCTCCGTGTAATATCCCGCTTTTCCTATTTTGGATCTACTTTTACATGTAATTTGCTTTTTCTTTCTTTATTTTTTACTTTTAAATTCACTTTTTTTTATTACCCGTTTTTCACTTCTAAATTCACTTCTGTTTATTCATATATTTTTCGCTTTCATTTATCACCCTTAATTATTTTATTTTATTTTATTTTATTTAATCTCATCAACAAATAACAAATAGTGTAGATAGCTCTAAGAACGAAAAAAAAATAGTATAATAAAAAATGTATAAATAAAGGTCTTCAAAATATCAATAAAAGAAGAGAATTAAATTGCGTACAATTCTTCTCCAAGTAAATTAGACTTGTAAAATTGTTGTAATTAATTGTGGTTAGATTCTTTGATCCAAAAAAAAAAAAGGCATTGATATCATTGAAACGGCATATTGATTGTAAAGCGCTTTGTGTGGAATAGTTTAGGGCTTTTAGCTAGAAAAAGTAAATCATTATTAATAAACATTGTTAATTGAATATCACCGCCAATTGAAAATAAAGAAAACCCAATTCCCCTCACCCAAATAATTTCAGTCGAGTCTCTCTCTCTCTCCCTTTCTCTCGTCATTAGCCTAACGATATTTGTAGATATCGGCACAGGAATTAGAAACCGACGAACACCACTCAGTCTACTCACCCTCTCCCAATTCCTTGTTGTAGGTAAAATCGTCAATTACGATTTGCTCGCAACAGTACATGTATCGGTGTTTAGAGTTCAGATTTCAGTAAAATTTTTTGCAAAGTGATAACGATAATACATAGCATTTAATCAATTTGATCTATATCAATATTGACCGAAGCAAAAGGATAAGTATATGTGATTTGAAACAATTTAAGTAAAACTTTTGCTTTGGTTTCTATAATCTATAATAAAGGCAAGAAAATCAAAATTTACATGAGATTAAATAGAAAAAATCTGTCGCTATACAATTTCAAATTCACTTGCTGTATCATCTTCATTTGCTATAGCATCGTCATTACTTCTAAACTTGCGCTGCCCAACAAACAAATACCAATTCGTATGTACACCACGTTCATCATGTTCCTTCAACACCGCATCAATAAGTTCATGCATCTGCTCCGCCGAAATATTCAGATACTCTCGCCATTTTGGAGACATTGCTGTATATGCACCTGAGAGAATTCCCTTCCATATTTCACCAGTCTGTAAATTTAACGTTATAATTAAATTGAATATATTAAATTACTTGATATATATTTTGGAAAAGAAACCACTCATTTTTAATAAAGGTTTTACCTTTTCTCCTTTTTCACCGAATGGTACTGATATTTTAGTACTTGATAATTTATCTACTGGAAGTTCTCGTAATATCTTTTCGAGAGTCATTATAACGTGATTGTCGTATCTTCTTAATTCTGAAATTTCTTTCCATGTATTCCATAGTGATTTGAAAACTGGGCCAGGATTTCTGCGTGTGAATATTAGAAAATGATTTTAGCAACTAACATATACGCACTAAAGTACAAAGATATATAGATGAATACCTCACTTCTGCGAAATTACTCTCTAAACATCAAAATAATAAACATTGAATAAACAAATATCTTTCATATGTAAAAAACAATTACAAAATCTTGTATGACGAGTTACACACCAAGAAACTCTATCCATCCTCCACGTTTCGTGACTCGTATCATCTCTTCAAGCACAAATCTAAATTTTTCACGAGGCAGCCAACAAATAACCCACCGACAATGCACATAATCGAATGTTTCGTCTTCGTACGGTAGACCGCCTGATTCATTTGAGTAACATATTAGTATAATTATAAGCGTATGTATATTATGAAATATTTAAAAACCTAAAATATCGCATGTATCGAATTGACAATTTTGCGGGTATATTGCACTAGGTGATTGTAGGTCAATATCAACACCGATAAACGAGACATCGGGAAATTCGCTATGTATACGCAAAAAAGTTGGATTAACTTTTCCAATTTAGAAGAAAAGCTTCAGTTTGAATTGAATATTCACCTCGCCATATCCATTAACCAAGCACCATTACCAGAGCTACGAACGAAATTATTACAGAAAAATTAATAATCAGCTCGACTTCTGTAAAGTAATAAACAATGCATTTAAAAACTCACCCAACGTCCAAACATTTTTTCATTGTATCAGTTATTGGTGCCTTGTAATTTCCATTTAGAACATGTTTAACTAGAAAGTGCTAAAATAAAAAGTTAATTAAATGTTACGTTTTTTTGAAAAAGAATTTACATTCTGACGCCAATAATTAAGTGTAATTTACAATTGTATTCGACCTATCAATCTTTAAATGTGATAAAAAAAAGAGTATTAGTTAACGGCGCATTTTTTTACTTTAACAAATAAAATAAAATCAATTGTCAAAATCACCTCTTCGTCATCTTTCGGTAACAAGTAATTAGAATCTTCAAGAAACCGACGTCCATCCATCCACGAATAATTTGGCATAGAATGCCGACTACTACTCAATGAATTTCTCCCAATTTCATTTGAAATATCCTCCACATCATGCTTTGATTTCTTGGAATTGGGATTTTTTCTTTTCTTATTACAAAGAAACCCACAGCATCCAGCCGACGACGATAAAGGAGACAAGGATGACGACAACTTGGATTTCGACTGTTTTCCTCCCATGAAAGCTAAGTTTATACGTATGTAATAAAGAAAATATTCGTAATTTAAATTGCAGAAAAATTACTAATCGGAAAACCACAATAGATACATACATGTACTAGCTATTTATCTAAATTTACATGCATACTGCATACATATTCGTTATTACATATAATATAATTAACAATAAATTCATTCAACGATCAATATATGCAGTATATATTCCATATGAAATATTCGTTTGATAACCTTCATACATGCATATATGCATGTGTTTCTTCAGAACCTGTTATTTATTTTTGTTATTGTTTTGTTTCCGCCTCATTGTCGCCGAGAATAAGAATCAGATGAGGCGGATAACAGGTTTTGTTTTGAATATTATGATTACAATAACGATAGTGTTTTAAGTTTAATTCTATTTTTATACATCGACATGTACTGTCAAATAAGATATTTTTGCGGTTGCGTGAATACTAAATTTGTGTTTCCCGTCGTTTCGAAGTTTGTCTTTTAGTCAATAATTTGGAAAGTAATTTTAGTAATATTTGCAATTTATTTTATGAGTCATACGATTTAAGTTTAGCATTCAAAGATTCATTATGCGTACTAAGAACAGGAACAGCAGTAACTAGTGCTGTTAACGTGCTGGTCCTATGTAAAACGTAGGACCGATTATGCTGCTTTAAAAAGTTGAATACTGTATAGTTATTCATTCATTTATAATTTGCTGCTATCGCCTACAGTTATTATCGTTATCGTTACACAATAAATCATGGTTTTAAAATGAATTACAGCACATGTATTTTATTTATGCAGTTCATTAATACGTAATAGCATTTAAAACGCTTCAAATTCTTTTCTTTCAAATTTAGAATTCAAAAATCTTGAATCTCCCGCAAATGCTCACTTGGATTAAGATTAGGGAATTGTGAAGGCCAGTCGTTTAAAACCTTGACTTATTATATCTTTATTTGCCAAAAATATAGTTAAAATTTAAATAACTTATATTTTCTAAAAGAGTATTGTTCTTGAACCTTAACATTATTTTATTTTATTTTATCTTATTTTTGTTGCATAATAATTAAAATCTTTTAAATTTCTTGAGTACTTGGATCGATACTCAACAGAGTAAGTTGCTCGACTCAAGTCAATTTCCTATACGTACGTATATAGTTAAAATGACAAGTTACTGGACAATCTGATATGATGCAGCAACCCGATAACGCATTTTATAACTGACTTCTTAATTAGGAACTAAATACAAAATTTAATCCGCAAATGTAATAGAATTAGGCCTTTTTTACCATATTTGTGGATTAAAATTTTACGTATTTACTTCCTAATTAAGAGCTCTAAAATGCAATTTATATGATTATCAATTTCTATTTTTTTATATTATCGTTATTGTCTTTTCTTTCGGAGTTATAATACATGTACATGTTCGTACTTGGCGCGATGTTGACATTTTGTTCCACTCATTGGGTATACAATCAGGGGTTCTCATTACATAGTTCATTACAAGAAAAGTTAATGAACTTGGAAGATTTTTTTAAAAAATCGAGACGGAGAATACCCAAGTAAAGCACTGAATGCGTCTTTGTATTTCGAGCATGTGTCGCGGCAGAAATTAAGAACCAAAATCTTCAAACAAGCGACACTACTGAAGTTTCTGCCGTTATCAAAATCTCCGAGAAACGCTGCTAAATGTGAAAAGGAACCTACATCAAAATTTCGTGCGAATTAAAAGAAATTCATTCGTTGGAATTTCTAATCCTCGGTTTATCGTTAAAAACTTGCTCAGGAAGCAGTACATGTATTATCAAAATGAAATGTCACTTTCAAACGTTAGACTGTTTTACACGCCGTAGCTTATAAAGATTCTTTTAAAAAAAGCATCAAAGTAAAGTACCAATGCGTTCTTTATGTTTCCTTGTGTTTTGAGCATGAGTCGTAGCAGACATAAAAACCAAAAGCTTCAAATAAGCAAAATTCATACTGTTGCTAAAGATCTCTGAAAACGCTACCTGAATATCAAAAATTCGTCTACAAAGGATTTCATCCGAATTACAAAACATTATTCGACTAGCATTTCTAATCCTCAGTTTGAAAAACAATATCAATACTATCAAAATTTTAATATTGCTCGTGAATAAACATTATCATCAGTCTGGGAAGGAATGTCTAATCATCAAGAATAACATACTTCATAAATTCTAGTCACCAGGAATATCATTAAAGTTAAGACGAATCCTTCCAAAATTTTAATCAAGGATATATCATCAAGACATTTCCAACATCCTTCCAAAATTCTAATAATCAGGATATTTCTAATAAAATGAATCAACCCAAAATTATAATCATCAGGAAAGATCAGAAATATCCTACGAATCTCAAGTAGCAGGGATTTTTAAATTATCAAAATATCAACAATAAATAACATGTAAGTTTAGTATTGTTACAGTGCAGGTCACTTAGTTAACACAATTGGCCAAATCTTTAAGAACTATCGCTATTAACTCAACAATCTGAACATTTCCAGTCAAAAAATACGTGATGTTATAGAGCAGTCAATAAACTATTGATTTACGTATTTTCTAATTTTTCTGAATTATTTCGAGGGCTCCGGTATGATTTGAAATTAATTTTTTTGTGTAGTGACTAAGTGACCCGCACTGTAGAAGGTCGACACTTAATAAGAAATTATAGAAGCTGATAATTTAATGTAATAGTAAGTTTTATAGATTTCAATGAGTTAAAAAAAATAATAGTACTAACGTGACGTGACTTAATTTTTTCCAACATAAACTTTCTATAAATAAGAATTCTTCCTAAACCAATTTCAGTTAAATACTATATAAATTCAGATAAATAGATTTTTCAAATCGACTCATTAAGATGTTATAATAGTATGTTTGCAATTGCAAATGTTGGAACCCTATTAAAGGAGTTTTGGAATATTGTTAAATTTGTCGGTTAAATTATGAATATGTTAGAACAATAATAAAATTGAGATTTTCATTTTATTTTCTTATCTTCGATGACATTAAGTTCAATGCTGACCTTATTTAGCCAAATTCGCCTGCATTTAATATCTTAAAATATAATATTTATAAATTCAATAAACTTCTTGACTAAGAAATAAATTTAATAATAGAATAAACTTTTTTGCAGAAAACGTAGAAAAAAAATCAGATATAGTATGTGTATTAAATTGCATTTACAGAGTGTAAATTACTTAAAGCTTTATATACTTGGAACTAAATCAGAGTGTGTATTTAGAGAGAGAAAATATAGTGCATGCATTTAGGAAGATTGTATTTAGAGATATTTAACTGTATTAAAATTTATAATTTAGAAAAAAACAGAATTGATAAAAATCTTAATACTAATTTTCAGTTGGCTTTTATTAGACTTAGATCAGATTAAATATTTCAAAATATTTTCTGAATAATAATATTTAATCTGAAAAATTATAAAAAAATTTTGAGATAAATTAGATAACAACTTTTATATAGTTTTTATCAGACTTATTTTCTAAATTAAATATTATTAATCAGAAAATATTTTGAAATATTTAAGCCTAATAAAAATTATATTAAAGTTTTATCAGATTTTATCAAATTAAATACAAAAAATAATTTAGAATATTTAGTTATTTTAGTTTAAATATAAAAAAAATTAAATTTAATTTAAGCAATTTAATTTAAAAGCAAGCTTAAAACTAAATAAAATGAACTAAATTAAAACAAATTGATTTGAATTATAATTTTATTAATTTAAATTAAATTATTTGGAGTATTATTATATACTATTTATTAAAAAGATTTTTGTTATTAATTTTATTATACTCAAAATTTATAATAACTTATAAAGTATTTTTTCTTATAATATTCTTTTTTCATATAAGTTAATTTGTAATTTTTTAAATAAAATTGAAAATACTATGATATATACTATATATAACTTTATTATTTATATTAAATTTATAAATTAATAAATTATATAAATATAATTTTTTTAAATTAATAATTTATAAAATAACTTGAATTTTAATATTATATATAATCTAGTACAAAAATATTAATACACCAAAAAGTAAAAGTAAAAGTAAATCATTTTCAATTAAATTTATTAATTAAATGTTAATTATTTTTTTATATTATTAAAAATATATTTTAATTTAATTGTTTATACTATTTTTATTCTTTTAATAAAATTTTAAATAAAACAAAACTTTTTGAATTTTTTAAAAAAAAATATATTTTTAATATTGTTTCTATAAATATATGATTTTATAAATTTGTATTAAACAAGTATATTAATATATATATATATATGATAAATATATATTTTAAATTTTAACAAAATTGAATTACCAGTTATTGAAAATTAAGCTTTAAAATCTAAAAATTCGAATTTTTTTACTATATAAAATTATAAAAAATAACTATAAATTATTATATAAAAAAATAATTTAAAAAGTTATTAATTAATAAAATTTTTTATTTGTTTATATATAATAAAAAAATTATTTAAATATATTAATTATAATATAAATATTAGATTTGATAAAAAAAAATTAAAATTTTAAAAGTAAAAAAATTTTTTTATTAATAGCAAAGTAATATATTAATATTTTTATACTGGATTATATATATATTAATAATAAAAATATAAGTTTTTTATAAAAAGTTTTTAATTTTACTAATAAATATTTTTTATTTTTATATTAAATAAAGATAATATTATATATTTAATATATATTTTTTCAGAATTTTCAGATTTAATCTAATAAAGTTTTAATTATATATAAATTAATAATTTTTTAGAATAAAAATATAAAAAATTAATAATTTTATATATAATTAAATAAATTTATCAAATTAAATTTAAAAAATTCAAAAAAATATATTTAATATATAATATTATTTTTATTTTAATATATAAATAAAAATATATTTTTATATTTTTACTATATTTATTAATAATTATTTTGCTATTATATTATTTTAATTATTATTATTATATATATTTATAATAAAATACTAAAAATTTATAAATAAAAATATTTAAATTTATAATAAAAAATTTACAAAACTTTTTTATATTAAAAGTTTATTAGTAATTTTAAATATTAAATAAATTTATTATAAAGTAATTTAAATATAATTTTCTTATATTAAATTTTTTATATTAAAAGTTTTTATATTAAAATTTTTTTATATTATTATCATTCTTATATAGATAGATAAAATATTAACTAATTATAGTAATTAATTAAAATTATATAAAAATAATAATAATGTCTATATATACTTGAGAAAATTGAATACTAGATAATTGAAAGAAAGTATTAAAAAAATAGATTCTAATATTTCTATTAGTTAGCAAGTATTTTATAATTAAAAAAATATGAATAATTTATTAAATTACAAAATATGACTTTCACTAGTTGAGTAAATCAAAATTAAGTAAATAATAAATCAAAAATAACAATAAGTAAAAGATTATTTAGAAGTATCAGTTAATTTTTATATTTTTATTATTTTCAAATCACTTAAGAATTATTTTAGTTTATATTAAATTATATCTATTTAAATATATGTAAATATAATATAAATCTATATAATAAGTAATATTACTTAAAAATAATTATAAGATTAATTTGAAAAAAGTGTAATAATAAATATAATACTAATTTAATTTAAGTGATACAATTTAAATTAGAGTAATATTAGTATTATATTAATTAATATTAAATAAAATTAATTTAAAATAGAATATATTTAATTAAATAATATTATAATAAAATAAATAATGCAATATTAAAAAAATTAATTGGTATTTTTAATAAATTATATGTAAATTAGATTAATTAAATAATTAAAAAAAATTATAAATAAAAAAATAAAAATGAAAATATAAATAATTATCAAAATTATATTATATAATATTTACATGTAATTAAAATATCAAATAGTAATAATATTAAAGTTTTTTATATTAAAAATAAATTTTTATTTTATTAATTAATATTTTTTGTTTATAATTTAAATAAAATTTTAAATTATAAATTAGTTATATAACTTTTATAATTAATTTATTAAAACAAAAAAATATTTATTAATAAAAATTATAATTTTATAATAAAAAAATTTTAATATTAATAAATTAATTTATTTCTAATTTTTTCAAAAATTTAATTACTAGTTTAATTATTTATATAATATAAAATATTGTTAAAAATTTGATATTTTTAATTAAATTGATATTTATAATTTTTTTATAATTTATTTTTTAAAACTTTTTCAAATTATTTCTAATTTATAATTTATTATATAATATAAATATAAATTAAGTTTTTTTATTTTATATTTATAAGCAAAAAATAATTTATTTTATAATTATTTCTATTTTTTAAATAAAATTAATATTTTTTAATATAAATATTTATTAACTTGTAATTTAACTTAAGAATACTAAGATTAATTTAATATAAATTTAGTAAAGTATAGTAATTAATAAATATAAATAATTAATATAATAATTTATATAAAAATATTATATTACTAATAATTAAATTATAAGTTTATAATAATTTATTTAGTTATATAAATTTTAATTTGAAAAATATTATTAAATAATATTAAATAAAAATTAAAAAAATTAAAAAATTATTTCAAGTTTATTAATTTTAATTTTCGAAAAATTATATGATAGCAAAAAATATAATTTTAGAATTGTTAAATTAATAATTTTACTTTAATTAAAAAGTATTTTTTAATATTTTTACATTAAAAATTTTATTATTTTCTGATTTATTATTTTATTATAAAATTAAATAATTAATTTTTAATTTACTTAATTAGATTAATTATTTGAAATATATCAATAATAGTAAAATTTTACAAAGTTTTCTTTAAATATTATTAGATAATTTGATATTTCAAATAATTTTTGCTATATATAAAGATAACAAAAAGAAATTAATTTAAAAGTTATACTATCTCTTTTTAATAATATTTTTTTATATATATTACAAATTCTTTTTATTTGATTTAACTTATTAGATGTAACTTTATTTTTAAATAAAATTTATATATTTTAACAAACTTTATTCACTCTTTATATATTGAATTAATAATTAATTAATAAATTAGAGTTTTTTATTATTAAGAAAATAATTAATAATATTTTTACTTAATTTTTTGTTAAGATTTCTGAATTAAAAATGGCTCCTTAAACTGTTATAATATAGAACATCAATATTTACAACTAATTGTAACATGACAAATAAGTATCACAAGATTACAGCTCCATTATTATTCTGGATAAAAGTGATATTAAATAATAAAAACTAATAAAAATCTGATTCTGGATAATATGTGATTATTTTCAAGTTTGATAAGATAATAATCTGAATTGTTATACATGTAGTTAAAGCAGATAATAAGCATTTTTAAAAGTAATAAGCAAAATGAACTAAATATACATTGTAAACTCGTTCTGAAAATTCAAATGATTGGTTATTGCTTCGTCTTTGTCACGTTCTTTTTCTTTTCTCCTTCTGCCATTGATAGGTTAATCAATTAGTTTGTGCAAAAAAAGGTTAAATACTATAGAAATTCCGTTCCGGGAGCAGTTGGTTTGTTATAAAGTGTGTTCATATTTTACCAAACAGTTCGGTATATAAAACATACCAACAAAATTAAAGACACGTAATACATGTACATGTATTATACTGAATATCAATCGCTGATGATTTGGTATAGCTATCCTATTCTACCTTTTGTTACCTTCGCCTATTCTTACTCATTGCTAAAAGTATTTCATCGTATAAATACTTACAGTATCAGATAACACTAGCAAGGATCCAGACAACACAGATTATGATAATTCCACATCAATGTAACTTTCGGTAAAAGTAATCGGATGCGAGTTTATTAAATTAGTTCGGTATACCCAACATTATAAATTATAAAAAATTTGGTTCCGAAATAGTTTATTATAACCAAGTTTCGGTATAAGCAGAGTCAACTCTATAATTCTTGATCCTTATAAATAAAGTTTGAAATTTTTATACAAACGGCTTTGAAAGATTCTCACTAATAACCTAAACTTGCTTTTAAATACTCTGCCCAATTCTTTAATATAATATTAAGTTATTTTGAAAACGATAACTTTCAGAAATCACATGAAAATAATAATATTATTTATGCACCAAATTTTCGTACTTTCAAAAATTTTACCAACATCATTTAGAATCTCAATCCAACAATCCTCGTCATAAATTATACGTACCTGTCGACCAGCTAACCTGAATTCATCAAACATACACAAATAAGCATTATTCTTCTATATACAGCACTTGTCTTCATCTTGACGTAATTTTACATAAAGTTGTTGCATTGTTCTGTTCATTCTCTCGTTACTTTAATCGAGACAATGCTTTATTTAAAAGTAATTATTTATATATTTAATCTTCCAGTAATTCGTATCTTCTGTAGTTAACATTATTATCATTAAATATCGTGCATTAGGTAAAAAAACAACTTGTTGCATGATTCTTTCATTTACATACTAATTGTTCGCATTTTTGTAATTATAGATTCTTCAAAAACGTCAATTTGAACAGGATCTCGAACACTCTATATAGGGGTTATAGTGAAATAATTTATGACTTTTAACAAAAATAAATTCACTTTTAAGTTTGAGTGATTAATAATATATTATAAAAAGCTAGACATTTAATTTTTTACCATAAAAATTAAAATTTATTTTTTTTTAAAAGTATTTTGACTAAGTTGAATAAGTAGAAATATTGTGACCTCTATATAGAGTATTGAACGGTAAATAAACAATGGATCTAAAGAATTACAGTCCTTTCATACACCTATCATACAAACTACAAAACATTTAACAATGAAGATTATCGGTTAGCAACAATTTCGAGGCTTTGATGATTTTAATCGTGCGCTACAAGTATTAACTAAAATTGAGAACGTGAAAATAAATACGCAACCGAATTAAATAATTATTTATCGCTTATAGTTAAATAAATTGATAGGTTTTTTTCTGTAATCACTTACTAGATAAATAACAAAATACCTACTTTTCAGAAATATTCACACAAAAAACTCACAAATAATATGATTATTTGCCATACTATAACGTATTTAAATTAATCATAAGAATTTCCAATCGATTCTATCATCATAATCTTTAAACAAGTTACGTAATCGAAAAAATCTTATTGATCGGAAAAAATCCTATCTATATCAAATAAATCAATATAAATCATGTTCTCTATGAATGAACACCAGACACTCCGCTTCTTCCCAAATTTGTGGAGATGCGAGCGTTTGCATGTGTGATTACGGAAAATTCTCTCTTATTGTTTGATAATTCCGTTTAGAACTAGTGCTTAAGGAAAATTTTATATTCTGTTGCTTTTTAGCTCTTTCGTACTTACTTTACGTACCATACATCATATTGCTACCCAGCCATTCTTCCTAACGACAATAAATATTTACCCGACAAATTATCAATTCTAACGGGAATGAATTAAACATTTTAAAACCAGCCGACAATAAACTCCCAAATTTGGGTGAGTCAATCAGCTGATCAGATCTGATTTTTAGCGTTAGAGGAAGAATGACACATCAATTGTATAGTACATAGATAACAGCGCGTCTTATGTTTATATAATATATAAAACATTCAAAAAATACGAAAAATCTAATTAATGCAGGTCAAGAATAAATATTAATTTTAAAACTCTTTCCGAGGGAGGTAACTGGATTGACTATATATATATTAAAATGAAGTATGTTTTACTGCAGCTTTTTTAAAATAGCTTCGAAATCTATAGGCCATATGAGGTCATTGGCCAACACCGAAACATTATTAGATGATATACAAAGTAAAAGTCGATATAACGGATGGGTTCGAGCAACTAAGGAAAGAAATTCAAAAGCTATGTCGAGACTTTATGAGGACAGAGGGTGGCCAGAAGTCACCTAACACTATATAATAATTTTTTAGCAACCAGTAATCAGAATCTAATGATTTTTAGTGCATTGGATTTGTCTTATAGAGACGAACGTTTTGATAATAAAACAAATCAATATTGGTTGAGTTATTTTTTTAAAGTTATTAAAGTTTTCGGTGACTTCTGACCACCCTCTGTAAGTTCATTATATCGAGCAGCATTTAGCAGCTTTCAATCATATTGTATTATTTACATTCTACAGTTATGCTCATTATAAACTTTTCTAGACTATCCAAAGTCGAAGCTCATCAGTCAATTATCAAAAGGGTGTAGAAGATCTCGACGGTTTCAACGGGTTTCGGCAGGTTTGACTGTTTACAAATTAAAATGTTTGAATATAGATATGTACATATTGATGTTGTCAATCAATCGGTTATGCAGATCGGATGCCGTTACCTCTTGAGATCGTCCTTCGCGATTTTGACAGAAAAAATGAATTGTCAAACGTCAAAAGTAGTTTCGTTTTTGACGTCTTTCATCAAACCCTTAGGTTTCGACAGGTAACATTAACTCACTAATTACTTTTTAATAAACAATTTTTATTAGTGAATTTCAATGATATGAGAAATACTTCCGTAAGCATTGAAATTTTTATGTATTACGTAGTATGTATAAACTTAATAATTTTTCACTTAAAAACAAAAAGTTAAATATCTTATATTGATTTGTAAGCTATATTAGAGTAAAATTTATTTTTAAAAAATATATATTGTTAATTTATAATAAATCTAGCTCGTTTGTTAGGGCACTGACATATATTATCTAATATCTTAGGGGGTGGAGGATAGAGCTGGATCTTAGGTGATACATAATTAAGCATTTCTGATTGGTTATAATACCTTACCTGGGGGTGGACACGTCTATCAAAGTGATATTAGGTAATATATATCAGTGCCCTTATATGTACAGTATTTTATTAGAAAGTAAATCTAACAAATTAGATTTTTATATTGTTAAATTTATCAAAATTACTAGACTAATGATTATTAATATGATATATTGTAAACTTTTTTGATGTACACAGATTCGGTACGGTCACTTGATATGGTACGATACAGTCTTAATTCTATACTTCGAAATTTCTCATACTACCTGTTACGGTAGATACAATAATCACGTTAAATATCGTTACCGTACCGTACCCGCAGTGATGGTAAATGACTTTAAATGAACCAAATGACTCCGATGACAAATGTCCAATGACTGGTCGTTTTAAAGGTCGAATGAGCTAACTGGTCATTTCAAAAAGTCAAATGATCTCACAATCTTCTTTTATCTAATAAAATTAAACTTAAACTTTGTGACGTCATTATAAACTGAATAAAATGACTCATTGAAACTCTATAGGTGGAAAAATAAATCACATGGCAAATAACCTAATGACTAATGGTCTAGGTCATTTCGATGTCATTTGAGGTCATTTACAAAATGAGCAAATGACCTGGTCATTTCCATCACTACCATACCTAATCAGTGATCGTACCATATCGAATCTCTACACTTTTTTATCCAATATCTATATAACGAATTTGTATAGAGGAAATTTCATGGTACAAATACATAATACACATATATACCGAAGACATTGGGTTAGTCCATAGACTTTGTTATAAAGAACTTTGACTGTATTTAAATTTTATGAGAAAAAACAATTAAGCTTCACTGAGCTGCTGCTTAATTTATTTTTAATCTATTTTGCAATATTTCGAAATTTGGTGATGATGATAAAAGCTTGTTTTGAAAAAAAATCATGTGCAATCCTAAAGGAATTTAAATAATTTTTACATAGACAGAACTACCTTCTAAATTCTGCTTAAAGCCACCAGCTTGACCTCAAACCAAACCAAGTCATATTTATCTTGCATCCTATATCAGACTGCGCCGTGATTATGATGTCTTAAACGTTATAAACCAAGTTGCTATGACTCAGTTCTAAGCATGACTGAGCTAGATTTTTTTCGAGTAGACGACCAACGTGTCCATAGAGTTCACAGATTCCGTAAAAAAGCACCCAAACAAAAAAAATACACTTCTTCCTACCGATCAACCGAATATCATCACACCATACACACATAATTAAAACTCATTAAATATTTTTGATCTTGACGTAATCTTACATTAATTAAAGATTCTGCATTGTTTATTTTCGCTCTTGCAATCACTCACACTCACAACTAAATAAAATAATGCTTAAATTAAAAGTAATTATTTGTCTATTTAATAATAAATCGTCTCTTCTGTAAACTGACATCATTATCTGTAACATCATATGTTAAGCGGAAAATAAAACAATTACACTCGTATATTCGAAACGATTCCTCTACGTGTGTTCTATTATACGTAATTGAGTTTTATCGATTAGATCCTTGTGCATCAATTCGATAGACATTATCTCCAAAAATGGAAATTTTGAACAGTGAACAAAACAACAGATCTAATTGGTCGGCATAACACACTAGCATCAAAAATGATGATCAACAAATTTTGAGGCTTGGTGATGTCAATTGATGTCGATTATTCAAAAGTGTGAACGTGAATGTGCATGGCTGGGGCCACAGAATATAATTATTATTTATCGCTTACAGTTAGACTGGAATTCGATTTTTAGAGAATAATTCGATCACTTACAGAAAATAAAATAATGAATGTTATTATTAATAAATGGCAAACGATCTAGCCTCTAAAGGTGTTTGCATAAAATCACTACCAAATACTTGAATTCTTGTCATACAAAAACGTAGTTTAAGTTGATCATAAGATTCGTATAATATGCAAACAAGTAATCCTATTGATAGAAAACAATCCTATCCGTCAAATAAACTCCAGCTACTCCACATCTCCCCAGTCTGTAGATATGCGAGTACAAGCATCCTTTACGCGCTCCGTGTGTTATGAATAAATATTTGTGCCCAAAGCTATTGAAAAGAATTAAGCAAAAAGTAGTATTCATCCAAAATCGGAAAAATCTCACACTTATTGTTTAATAATTCCGTTTTAAGGAAAATTTTTTACCTGTTGCTTCTTAGTCCATTTGTATTTTTACACTAACTATAAGTACGCTACTCCATTATCGTCGGTCAATAAATACTTGATTGTCCAAGTACCGATTCCAATAGGAATGAAAAGATTTTAAAGCAACAATAAACTTTCTAATTCGATTGACTTTTATCTGATTTTTTGTTGACCATAAAATAATACATTTATCGTTATTATGTAAGAGAAATAAAATTACGTTTTTGAAAATTGTGGTGTATAATGATGTAAACAAAACAACAAAGATTCAAAAAGGTGAGATCGAAGGTAATCCAACATTCGTAATGAGAACACAAGTTTCCAAACGAGGAATACAAACAAGGCGATTTTTATATTGTATGTAGATGAGATTCGTGTGCATCTATTTACCCGCTGTCATTATTAAAAAAAATTTGCGTGTCACTTGATTGACAGATTGATTATATAATAATTATATAATAATTATTACGATTATTGACAAACTGGAAATCGAAAAGCTATTTTTTATACTTGTCCTGATTGTTATATTAATTTAGCGATGATTTTTGTTGATTGTGTTTTAACCAACCATTAAAACGTGGTATAAAAAACACATTTTTTTAGTTTTTCTATACATACAATTTAGAATTTTTTTGAAGCAAGAATTATAATAAAATTTGACTCGTAACCGTGCGTGCGTGCAGGATTTTGCATTAAATTGCTGCTTAACTATAACAATAGCATGCAAAACTTTACGAAAATCTCACCAGAATAAATCAAAGGTCCAATCAACTGAATAACCCGTATTTTCGATTTCTGTATTCATCACACTGGAAAAATCCACCGACATCACATGTTGGCTTTGTTGGCTGATAACTTTTGGAATAGGAGTAGTAGCACATAATAATCCCGAATTAAAAATATATGCATTATACTTCTCGCAACAAAAACCATATAATATCTACATGTTCCCTTCGTTACGTTAGTATATTCTCAATATTTACCAATGCTTATCAATACTTATCAATACTTATCAATATATATATATATATATATATAATAATATAATTCCCTTCAACAAGCTCAAGAGACGGAACCAACCAGCTTTAACCAATTAATTCATTATTTATATTCGCCACCTCCTTAATCCAATCAACAATATAAAAATTTACGTTGATATTCTCTGACAAAGAAGAACAAAGAAATACGACCAGATTATTGTGTGTGTTATAATTAAGCTTGCAGTAAAAGATATTCATATTGATAGTTGGGTAGAAAAATAAATGAAAAAAGAGTCATACACGAAGAAAACGGAACGCGTGATTCTGCGGTTGATTGATTGAGAATTAGTCTTGTTTGGAATCCGATTATTCCGTGTTGAAGCATCGGTCAGTTCATTTGGTGCGTCAAAGAAACGAGGGTTCATCTTTTTCTTGGTTTTGGGGGTTTGATTTTTCAATATATAAATGCAATCACAGTTCATTTGCCGTTTGATATAAAGTTATTTAATATTACAATTGTATTTTCATCATTTACACTTATTTATTCCACGCTATTTAATTATTTAATTTAATTTAGTAATTATCTTTTCTCTTTGAATTTAATAATAACCATTCTTTCTTTCAAGGTCATACTTTCTACATTTTTACGACGAATCAAAAGTATTTTCGCCATGCAAGACAACGCGAAAGATATTAATGCTGAAACAGACAATAACACTAGTACCAACATCAACATTAATTCTAACATCGGCACCACTACCGGCATTAACTCCGTCACCAACAATGCAAGATATCAACATTCCACTAAGCGAAAAATTTTGTCAACACTATCAAAACCGTCAAAACAAAAACAAAAACCTTCCAAAACTAAAAGCAACTTATCGAAAATCAAAGATACCATCCACTTTAATGGAATGACAGCGGAAAAGGTTCCGTTTCCAGATCCGGATCTAATTCGACGCATACTTTCAAACTCACGTCGAGCAGTACGTGTATCAACAGGTGGTGGCGGAAAAAACAACAACAATAACAATCCTACTATTCCTAAAAACAACACACATGCTCACAGCACCAAAAAGAATAGAAACGTGCCCCCACGACCTCCAAACAACTTTTTCTTGTTTCGTCATGCATTACACCTGCATTTGTCTAACTTGAGTTTAAAAGTTCCGCAAGTTTCGATGGCTGCCGGGATTTTGTGGGAAAAGGCGCTGCCGAGTACCAAAGCGCGTTACTCAGAACTGCAAAGTGAGGCGAAAAGATGGCATTTAGAAATGTATCCAGGGTATGTGTATCGGCCGAGGAGGTCTGTAAAAAAATTAACTAAAAGCAATAATAGTAGTAGTAGTGTGGAGGTAGCGGCTAAACCTTCATCGAATGCTTTAATTGTCCCGGCAAGTGCGGTAGATACCAGAAATTTCGTTATTTCGGAAAACGAGACAACTCAAAATTCTGCATTGTCAGCATCGAATGATAATTTATCCCAACTTGTAAATGAATCGATGATTGGGAAAACCTGTAAAAATTATTATCTAAAAAAATACCCATTGTCTCCTATTACGACAACCGGATCAGAAACTTCGTTATATTCACCACCAATATCTCCTTTATTGCAACAACAGAAATCCTCGCCATCCTTCGAATTCACTTTTGAAAAATCTTCATCTTCGTCACCGCACGATCCATTGCCATTATCAACAGAGACACGAAAACTGTCATATACAGAAGCATATCAAATTGGACTCCTAAGTCGGAATATTATGTATAGACAGAATCAAGAACAAAATCATCATCAATACCAAGAACAAGAACATTCCGAAACCTTTTTCCCACTACATCAACAAAATTATGAGCAGCAACAACCCGCATCATCACCATTCGACTCTTGTTCCACGTCATCACTTCAAACTAACAACTGGATTCTTCCGGACTACGCATCACAATCAATTACCTCTGCGATACTCTTAGAGCCACAAATTGATCCAATTCTTGCGGGTGACGATAAATTCAATAACATATTCACCTCACCACCTATGAATCTCCACGCTTTACACGACAATAACAATAACAACAGTCATTATCATATTTATCATACACAACAACCACCTATGCATAATCGCGAAAATAATGATGCTATCCAATCATCCGTTGACGAGTATTGTATCAATCAAGATCACAATCACGAACAACAAGCTACTACCACAGATTCATTTAGTCTTGCCTCTATTAATGATATAAGTGACAGCATTAACATCAGCAATATTAACAGTAACGTTATTTCTCTAAGTCCCACCACTACCAACACTAACAATCACGCAAATAGAACTGAAGTTTTTAGTGAATGGATCAAATACGATACACAATTTTAATTTGTTTATTAAGATGTATGTGATATAACTAGATATTCAAAATTAAGATTATCATTTATTTTTCTTTTAAGCAAAATAATTGTTATTTTTGAGTCTCTCCCCTGATAAGCAAACCATATTTGTATTCATTTTTTTTTATCCTATTTGGTGTATGATCCATAAGAATTCATTTTTTTCTTTTTGATTTTTTCTTGATTTTTAAAAAATAAATAAACAATTATCAATATAAAACATTGTCACATGTGTGCGAGCAAGTTAATAATTTAATCAATCATTCGCGCGCAAAATAACGTAGGCTTATATTTTTAAGCATCGACGAATGACATGATAAATAAAAATGAAGTACCTAGCCATGACAAAATAAAGTTCCTGTCACATGATTCCAATCCCGATGCCAGCCATCCGATATGCCCTTAAAATTATGCATCAAATTGCAAATCAATGTGCAACGCAAAAATTCAAAACAAATGTTTATTTTTGAAAAATATCATTTGTGCTCTAATAAAAAATTTTGCTATAAATTATACATAATCTGATTCTAACCCTAACCGAACATGTAATAACTGAATCTTTAATTAACACATGCATGATTTTAAGGGGTAGAATCATGTAACAGTAACTTTTTTTGCCATGGCTAGGTACTAATAAAATGCACGTGACATAAAATATATTGTATTAATTTCAGAGATAATATATGGGTTCTCCTTATAAATTGAGTTTAGAGCACAGTTTGACGAAATCATTTTTTGTTATAATCGTAAAAATTCAAAAATCAAGTTACACATTAGACTGATTCTATAATCTATAGCTCAACTTACCAAAAATTGTAATATATATGTCGAATCAAATTTTTCATTATAAGAATTTTAAATAAAAATAAAGTTTGAGAGTTGATAAATGAATGACAAGTTATATTTTTAAAAGTATATTTTTATAATCTAAAAAAATAATTCCAAAATTATTATTAGAATTGTTAACCAGTTCAAATTTATTCAAATAGTATCACAAAAATTACTAGATTAGAGATAATTTTTCTTATAAATTACTAATTAACTTGTTTATAATAATATTATAATATAAGTTACTTATTCAAAAATAAAAATAAAAGTTCTTGAGAAATCAGAATCTTTTAAAATATGAATTTGAAATGAATTTGACATCATTTCAGAATCAAAATGGTTATAGAAAAATTATTTTAATCAAACTTAGTTATAACAATATTTTAAAAAAATACTTATAATAGTTAAGCAATTTGATTTTTTAGAATTAGTAACTTTTAAAATTATTAAAATTCTAATTATTATATTTATATAATAAATTTATATTTCAGATATCATTAAGTTTTCTACTAAAATTATATAATATTTATTTAATTAAAATTATTTTTCTTTATAATAATTAAATAAATCAAAAATAATTATATAAGATTAAATAACAATTAGTAATTAAAATATATATTTTTATATAATAAAAAAATAATAATAAAATTAAATTTAATTATTTATTACAAAATATTTTTAAATTAATATATTTATAAAAAAATCTCTTTAATTATATTTTTCGAAACTAGTTATAGATATATATTTATAAAAAGAGTATATTAAAATAGTTTTAATAAAAGTTTTTTTAAAATTTAATAATATTTTTCTTTAAATTTTATATTAAATAAAAATAACAATAATAAATAAAAATAATAATAATAAATAAAAATAATAATAATAATAAATAAAAATAATTTATCAAAGTTAAAAATATTATTATAAGTTTGTTTATTAAATATTAAATTAATTTATAAACTTGAACAATGTTAAAAAAGAAATTAAATAAATAAATAAAATAATAAAGAAAAAAGAAATATTTAAGGTATATATCAATTTTTACTAAAATTTTAATAGTTCAAACAAAGATAAAAAATTATAAAAAATAAAAGTTAAAAAAAGAGAATATTATAATATATATAATAATAATTTTAAAATATTAATTCTTTATACTAATATAAAAACATTTTAAACTAATAAAATAAAATTAATATAATAAAATATTCAAATAATTAAAATTTTTTTTATTTTCAAGTAATTAAATTCTAAAATATAACAAGTAATTAAATTATCAAACTTATAAATATCAAATAATTAATCAAAACAAAATATTTATTTTCAATTATTAAGCAAAAATTTTAATAATAACATTTTGATAGATTTAAAATAATTCAAAATAACTTGTGTATAAGTTTTAAAATATAAAAAAATATATTATTTAATAAAAAATTTTTATTTTATTTATATTTTCAAATAGTATTTTTATTTATATATATTTATAAATATAAATTTTTTATATTTAATCAAAAATATAAAAATTATAGATAGAATTATAAAAATTGTAAATAAAGTTATAAATTATAAAAAAAATTATAAATAAAATTATTAATTATAAATAAAATTATAAATAAAGTTATAAATTATAAAAAATTATAAATAATATTTATTGAACTATTTTTACTAATTTAAAAATTAAAAGAATTTATATTATTATTATAATCTAGTACAAAAAGATTTGTATCTCAAAATAAAAATTAATAATTGTTTTTAATAAAAGTCATTTAGAATTTAATAACGCAATATTTTTCTAAAAAAACAAAATAATAAATTATTTTATTTTAAAAAATATATTTTTATCAATTTGTTATATTAAAACTTCAAATTGTACAAATATATTGCTATAAAAATTAAATTAGTAGTTATTGTAAAATTAAGTCTTGAAATTTAACAATTAAATTACAAGATAAAAAAAAGTTGTTATTAATAATAATTTTTTTATAAAATATAATTAAATATATATATTAAATAAATTTTAATATCTAATAACTTAATTAAATAAGATAAAATTAAAATTTTATTTTAAAAAATAATTTATTAATAAATTTTTTATATCAGATTATATAATAATGAAATTATTTTAATATTTATTAAAAAAATAAATATAACTTAAATAATTTTTAAAAGGTAAAAATATATCTTTATATAATTTAATAATTGAAATTTTAAAATTATTCATAAAAAAATTATAAATATTAAAATTTTAATCTATTATAAGTAAATTTTAAATTTTTAAATTTTTAAAACATTATAAATTTATAAATTTATTTATTATAAAAGATTTTAATTTATAAGATTTATTAATATTTATATATAATAGAATAAAAAAATATATTATTAAATTTTAATTTATGATAAATTATAAAAGTTAATAGATTAAATTTATCTATACTATTAATAATATATTATATTTTATTATAATATATTTGATAATAATTATCTATTAATTCAATATATTAATTAATATCTCTTTAAATATATATAGTTATATATTAAAAATTTTATATAACTAAATATTTTTTTATAATTTTGTAGAATTGTTTTTCAAAAATGAAATTTCTTGAAATTTATTTTTGTTCTTAATAATTATTAGTATTTTATAATTAAAAGACTTTTTGTATTATATTATATAATATATAATAAAGCAAAATTTAATAACTATAGAGAAAATATGATTATAAAAAGATTTTTTTACTATATTTATATATAAATAGAAAAATAAATTAGAGTAACAATAAAAAAATGTAATTATAAGCAAATATAATTATTAAGAAATTTTATTTAAATAAATAATCAAGAAGAAACTTTTAACAAAATACATATAATTGTATCAATATTGATTTATTTAAATTTCACAAAGAAGTTTTATCTCTATATTAATATTTCTGATTCTGAACTAAAAGTTATACTTTTACAAAAAAATAATCAAAATTAAAAAAGAGTAATTACATATTTAAGTATATCTTTTAAACTAGTTAAAACTTAATATAGTACTACTGAAAAAGAAGCTCTAACTATAATCTGAACTGATAATAATTTAAATATTACTTGAAATAATCTTTGTAATTATAATTAACTATAATGTATTATAATAACTTTTTATTAAATAAACAAATTCAATATCAAAAATATCTTGATAAATTATTATAATAATAAAATACAACTTTATAATTAGTTATTAATCTGAACAAGTAAATCAAAATGCTAATACTTTATTCTAAATAAATTTTGCTAACTATTAATATCTTAATTAACTAATATTATTAAAAATAGACTTAACAACATATTATAACTTCAATTTTTAAACAATAAAACTTATAATTTAACTTTTATTGAACAACAAAAAAAATAACTATAACAATAATCTAAATAGTTTATTATATAAAATGAATTATTATTTAAAATTAACTAATAAAAAGATACTATTAATTTACTTTAAGTATTCAAAAAACTAAAATATAAGTAATAATGAAAAGAATATATAAAGATCCTCTATTAAATATAATAAAATTTATTAACAAATTGCTATATAATATTAATAGAATAAAATATGAATTAATATAAAAGATTTTATAAAATCTTGTTAATTTATCAGAAGTCAATAATTTAAAGAATCTTTTATATTCAATTAAAATTAAATAATCTTTTAATTATATTATAATAAATCTTATTAGATCTTGCAAATTAACTCAATAAAAGAATTTATATATTATAATCATTATAAATTATCTAACAAACTAATTTAAATAAAAGTAATATCCAATAAAGAAATTATAATTATTACTAAATTTATATTAAAAAAATTATTTGTCAAAATAGATATTCAAAAATATTATAATTAGATTAAAAAACAGAATTTATAACACAAAAATAGAAGAATTTACTAGTAAATTTGGAATATAATACAATATTTATTATTATATTATCCATAAATTATAAAATAATTTAATAAAATATTATTAAATAATATTACAAAAACTTATAATTACTCTAGATAAAAAATAAGATAATTATATTTTAATTACATTATTTATCTATAAAACTTTATAAAATAATATTATTTAATATAAATTATTCTTTTTGATATATGAAAGTAAGGATGCTTGCCTAAATCCTTTCAGAAAA